CGTTTCGTTCACCATGCAATCGCATGACCAGAACTCAACTTTATCTTTAAACACTTCAATTCTAAAATTTGTTATAATTTCTAATAAGCGGAATTGAACATAAAGTTTGCATTGTCCTTATTACACCTTGTCTAATTTCATCATGAATGTTTCCGAGTGCAAATAGAAACGTCAATATCAGTTTATATATCTACGAATCTCCTGTCATTTCAAAGCTCTAATCATGTAAATTGAGAGATGGCTTTCACGATTGAAAGGTACTTTCAGCTTTTGGAAATACATGTTGAAATGTCATTCTAGAGGAAATGGTGTCATGGTCATATGGGTGGCGACAGTGATATATTAAATTTCTTTGAATTTACCTATCTATGAATCTAGAATTTTTCGTACCGCGGTATGGCGGAAATTATTATTGTAATTGAAAGTTATCCATTTCCTGACTAAACTTTTCTTGTGATCAATAATCATTTTTTTTTTACTTAAATCTTTCAGGAATATTTATTCTTCCATGCAAAAAGAAGTTGATTTGAAATTTTCCTTTCTAATAAGAAAGACTCTCAGGTTTAACAAGTGCTTTGGTAACCAATAGCAGTGTTAAGATATTTAGTTCTTACTCACAGTTATAGATTAGGCGCTTAAATTCTAAAATTTGTTATAATTACTCTTGAAAAGAGATCCGTTGACATTAACATCGGTCGAGAATATTTAAAGATTGTCAGTCATGTTCCTTTCAAAATAATAAGACAGTAAAGGAGAACTTTGATTTAAGCTAGATAACCATGATTCTCTCACTTCCAATCGGATTATATATGATATGTATGCAGCGATGAAAATACCCACATGAAAGTTGACTTTAATAGTCGGGTTACTTTATATTTGTATTGTTTGTGTGTTTATTGTATGCAACCCTGCCTTCAGTTTCCCGGACAATCCTTGAAAATTAGAAAAAGATCAATACGTAACACATCCGAGTTACCATTTGTTTGTAAATTATATTTTCATTGCTTTATATTCTATTCGATTTTTATGTAATCACGGCCTCGCTGAAAAACAGCTTTTGCTGAATGCGGGCACAATAGTGTATTTGTTTGTAGCCGTGAATAAATACAAAATATACCATACCATACCATACCAGGTACTTCACGAACATGTCTCGAAGTCTACCATGCAGTTGACCTCAAAAGCAACCCAGATAAACTCTATTATGTCCATTAAATTTGAAGGATAATATACATTTTTGGCTGGTCCTATGAACTTGCACAACAATTACCCCCACCCACACACACACTCTATTAACAAAATGCATCTAATTGAAGCTACACCCTGAGTCACCAATGCTACCCAAAGGTGACCTGAAGCCGACTACTTGACCTCACAAGCAAGCCTGGTTGAACAATGACAAATATGTTTATTAGTATAAAAAAAATATATATATATTGAATTGGACTTCTCGATCACCAAAGCAAACGTGGTGAAGAGTGCATAGAACCCACTTTTCTGTTATTTTCATTTTACTGTGGGGTTAATGTTAACTTTTTAACCATTAGCATACTTGATCTTGTAACCTTTTTTCGTTCTCTATACATGCCTCTTTGCTCAGGCCACTAGTACAACACCCCCTGAAATAAAATTCTTGAAAAATCAAATAGAAGTAACAACCTTAGGTTACAAGGTATTACAATTAGGTGACTTGAAGTATAATAATTGACCTCAAAAGCAACTCGGGGTGAACAGCTAGACTGAAACCCATTTTACTATAATTATTTTCATATCCCCCTAAATTCTCTTCAATCATCGAATAGGAGTTACACCCCCCGGATAACCAGAAATACTAGGATAGGATTTCTGAAGTCGACCAATTGACATCATAAGCAAGAGAATTATCACGGGAATTAACCCTTTTGTGCTGCCTTTTACCCCATTCCTTCGTGAAAACCGTCAAATTTCGACGCCGAACCCAAAGTCCACTTTCACGGGGGTATTTCAGTTACTGCACATAATGTACAAGAATGAAAATAATCATGCGAAAGGAAATGAGAGAATAATGGTTGCGTGCCTTAAATCGAAATTCCCCATTACTGTCCTTCCCCATTACTGTCCTTCCCCTTTTTTGTGTGGTAATGTTGCAAAGGTTGAGACATTGAATAGAATGGAATACATGTTATGTATTACATGGCCACTCAGTATTCAAATTTGCATTTCTTTTCTTATTTAAAATCTTTATATATCAATTTGAAATCCAACTACCACATAAGTCTGTGAATATTGATGTCCATCCCCTCTTTCTTTCCTCTTCTTTTTTCTGTCTTTTCCCCCTTTTACCAATATTTTGTTCCTCCATATTTGTATTATTATGTATCCTTTGAGGGTAGTCATACTATCAAGCTTTGCTTATTTTGTCAACCCTCCTGTTTGATGTTCTCAATTAGTTACACCCAGCCTTACTTTATTCTACATATATTCTTTTGTCACGTGTAAATTTGCAATATTTGTTTGTTATATATTTGTAAAAATGCAAAAGAAAAAGAAAATCAAACAGAAATAAATAAATAAAATCAAATCAAATCTTTAGATAGCACAGCTCCATGTAGATTATACACGTAGGTCCTAGGCAGTGGCGGATCCAGCCAGCGGGAAGAGGGGGGGGGGGGCCCAATCCGTGAGAAAATATTGGTTGCGACTCAGCCACCGGTGAAAAAGCGGGGGGGGGGGGGGGGGGGTAGGAGGCACTTTTTTTTTGGTCCAATTTTTCAGGAAATATTTTGCGCCGACTCAATCAGCCGGTGAATAAGCGGGGGGGGGGGGGTGAGACCACTATTTTTGTTTTTTTTCTCACCTAATTCGTGAGAATTTTTTTTAAAATTCTTTTTTTGTTGGCCCGTCAGCACCCCCCCCCCCCCCGTGGATCCGCGCCTGCAGAGGATCCAGACGGCGTCAAGGGGGGGGGGGTAGCCAAATCTTAATACACAATTTAGTGCCGACTCAGCCGGCCGGCGAATAAGCGGGGGGGGGGGGGGGTGGGGGCTTTTGTTTTTTGTTTTATAAAGGTTAACTTTACGTTATTATCCTATTTTTTTTATCGTTTTGGGGGGCTAGGGGGGGGGGGCGGGTCGGAATAATCGCTACGTGGATCCGCCCCTGGTCCTAGGCGACTTTACATTGTAAACATTTACACGATTTTTTTTTTTTTTTTAATACGTTGATTTTAATAGAACGCATATATGATATTTTCGTTCGTGCCTAAACTATCTTCAACTGACAGATCACAGCACTACCTGACCCTAAAATGATTGTAGTAATTATTGAGAACATTTTAGCAAAAAAAACCCTTAAATTTGATCAAAAAGTGAGTAGATGACAAAAGCAAACATCTACTTTCATCAACCCCCACCCTTAAAACATGGGTACTATCTCTTTGCTGGTTGAACTAGATATTGCGGCTGCAGGACAAAGGCCTTGCGGAGAGTAAATGATCTCTGCATACAGTTCTGGTACATACGAAACAAATGGCACCGCTATTAAGTAAATGTGCTTTTAATACACGGTCCAATGTACAAGGAATGATATATAGGCAAGCCTGCCTTGTGTAATTTAATGTTATGAGGGCTGTTTATTTTGTTCCCCATCCCATGAAAGGGGTAATAATTTTATGTAAAGCACTTAGAGCCATCGTAGATGTATGTAGCGCTATACAGTGTATAAACAAGAGTATGATGATCATTAATAAGTACTAGTAATATTATCATTATTATTAATTTCATTATTATTAGTAGTAGTATCATTTTTTTTTCAATCTTATTTTCTGTTAAGTTCAAACAGAGTTGCCTCTTCATTTTAACTGCCGTCCTGGATGAAAACAACACAAACAATATATACAAACATAATGTATAAAATAATACAAAAAATCATAATATAGAGCACAATGAAAAATATGTACATTTCCAAGTACGCTACATTCGAATTACTTTCCTAAGAAGCAAGGTGGCAGAGATACCGACAGATAGTGTTATAGTTTATTATTACAGTGTATGTGCATATTTAAAGGTATTGGATGAAAACAGTTTTCATGTATATTGTCGTTTTTGCCATGTTTACCTTATTAATACAACAATAATTGCCACATGTTGTGTCATATTACTCGTACTAAATAAAAAGAGAAATGCACTGTTAATCAATCGTAAAACCCAGACAATATTGATTTGTCATACTGACCCTGAAGAGTGATAGCATAACAGTAGATAAACAGGAAGCGAACCGATGTAATATAATACAAAGGTAAGAGCACATAACAAAAAAAAATGGTCCAGTTTTTGAGGAAAAATTTCGCAACGACTCAGCCAGCCGCTTAATAAGCGGGGGAGGGGGTAAGAGCACATATTTTTGTTTGTGTGTCCAGTTTTTAAGGGGAAATTTCGAAACAACTCAGCCAGCCGCTGAATAATTGGTAAATTACGTCGTCAGATATTTTGTTCAGTGGCTTGGGGAAGAGGGGGGGGGGGACACTTTGTTTTTGCCTCCTTTAGCACAACAAAACATTTTGTGTGTGTGTGTGTGTACAATCAACAAAAAAAATGAGTGGGGGGGGGGGTTAACCCACAAACCCCCCTCCCCCTGCGTACGCACCTGCCACCATCAGTATGAGAACAAACAAAGTTAGGTTTTTAAGAGAAATAGAAAAAACTCACAAGTCCCTATTCTATTTGAGTTCAGTCAAACTCTTCTATGTGTAAATCCAGTGTCGGGTTTAATTTTGGTAGAATATTTGTTATGACATGACGTAAAGAATCCCACAAGTTGTAAATCATTGACCGTTTATTGCTGAGATCATATTTGTCCAGTAATAGTTATCTCGTCCTGGGCATTTTATTTATGTCTGTTCTATTTTTAATGCCCGTAAAGAATGATAAAATATAGGTCTTTAAATCATATTTGTTGTAATATACGTTTGTCATTACATATATGATTAATTTCATTGTTCTTATGTGCTTCGTGTAATGCAGAGCTAGGATGGAGGCCACATCCAACAACAAGCCAACTTCACCCCCAAATGGGATAACGGTCACGATACCAGACTTCAGCCATCTGAATGGACATCAACGCCCCGCCGACAAACCTCTGATCCCGGAATATTGGAAGACACTGTGGAGCTATGGCTATATGAACCTTGTCGTATTTATCATGTGCTACGCTACTGTTATCACTCATCGAGAAGCCCCGGATAGAAGGAAACATCCACCTCTTCCAGATCGATTTATGGACAATCTGCCCAACATTACATGGGGAATAATGGGTTCTGAAGTCTGCATCATGGTTCTCGGTCTTACATTGCTTGTGATGACGATCTTTCATAAACACAGGTAATTTCTCAATCAATACATGAACTTAGTTTCCAGTAGTCCTCAGTAACACCTCTTGTGCATGGCTACTAGCCACAAACGGCCCACGAGACTGACATAGCAATATACGTCCGACTTTAATATCCCTGTTGTATACAACTATTAGGCGGATTCACACCGACAAGACTGACACGAGACGAACTACAGACCGAACAAACCATTCCATGAAGTTCACAAGTTAGTTTCATCTAGTCACATTTGGTTAGTAACACAATATGTTGTGTCTACTGGCCTCTAGACCGACGGTCTGCGATATACCGACAAATCACATGACCGTGAGGCCGACATGCCCCACCGCACTAGTTTGGCCAGAAGGGATTAGACCTCCCTGCATGGTCACTGACAGGTGGTTATCTCATCAAATAAGCTCTCAATTAACATAAGAAAAGGAGGATCATGGGGGACCAATGGTCACCGATTGGGCATTGTTTGCTATACAGAGGGCGCAAGTAGCTATAAGTAGTGCAGTGGGGCTTTAAATTACGTCTGACAACTTTAAAATTCACGTTATCTTTATCTCGTAGAGTGTCGGTCTCATGAGCCTGACGTCTGAGGTCGTGTAGGCTATATTAGTAAACTAGAATGTATCTCCTGTTTCTACTGATCTGCACCATAGGACCATTGGCACAATGGACATCTCATTTAAAATTTCTGTACTGGTCAAATCCAGCGTAACGGACGTGACGTTGGTTCTAAGACATATGACATTAAGACATATAAGACATTAAGATTTTAATGACATTAAAACCTGTTCTGGGTTATTTAAACTAGTTTTAAACAAAATCAAGAACCCGAAAACATATATTAGTACCTGATTCGGACACATTTAACTACCAAATACCAAGCAAATTTCACAGTATGTCGCTTAAATAATAGTTGTAGAGAAAATGTACTCTTTGTGACCGTAACGGACATGACACCAAATAGAGAAGGATTTGTTTTAAACCCCTGTGAACAGTTTAAACATTCTGAGAGTTTAAATGTCCAAGGAGTCTAATTTAAATATCAAGATATGCTTGTACTCATACTCTAAACATAAATATAAGTTGTAACACTATTAGATTACACCTTCCTTGTCACGGATTTTAAAAAATAGAGTTTTAAACGGACATGATACTTTTAACATGATCAATTAGCTATGAAAAGATCTTATCAATCTGTGTTCCCTTCTTCACAATTGAGCACCACAAAGTCAAATGTCTTTTTTGTTCGAAAGGTTATGTGACAATGTAATCTTTCTGTTACATCTCTCCCATTCATATCTTTTGACTGCCACATAGATAAAGATCACCCTGACCCACTCTCGTGTTCACATTAAATCAATCAAAACAAAATAGGCTGGATTATATTAATCAAAGTATTTTCTATTTCTGTTGAGCCGCGTGGGAACCATCTGTTCGTTATCTGTTATTTTTTTTAAAATTCATAATCATCACTCAGTGTTTAAAATTGTCACAGAATATGCAATTTCCAGGCTATTTCCTCATTGCAAGCTATGCCATTACGCACATTCAAGCATTTAAGGCTCCATTATGTATCGGGGCTCACTCATCAAAACCATTTCATATTCTTATTGTTCCCACAAGCTCAACCAAAAATGAAGTTCCCCTTGACACTTTTAAGATGAGCCGTGATGAAATTTGTTCTTTAATTAAGCAGATTATGTTGAATTTTCTTTCGCACATTTGAATTGGCTATTTTTGTAAAAAATCCATCTTTTCTTCATGTCTTTTGGTGATTCTACTGGGTGCTAGAGAAACATTACATTTCTGATTTCATTACGTCTAGGTTTACCTGCGTTTTCTGTTTTCTCTATTTGTTTAATCTTGGTACAGTGTATTACAATTCTAGAAACTCGACTAATCAATATAAATATTATTATTGAACAATTCAGAACATTAAATTGGAGGTGCCAAGGTCAAATGGATACGTCACCGGACTGTGGATCACATTGTTTGCACTTCGAGTCCTTCCCAGGCACTAATGTCTTTTGTTCAGACATTAATCTCTATCTGCCACTCTCCTTGTATGCTTCGAGTGCTTTGGGGCAGCTGAGCTAAACCCACTACACGGTTATACTAGGGACTTTTAGATTCTGCACGACGAAAACGTGGACTGCCCTTTTAAGGCACTGGCAGTGACGTCACATTGCCTTAAAAGGGCAGTCCGCGCGTTCTCGTCGTGCAGAATCTAAAAGTCCCTAATAATAATTCGTAGGCGACTTGAGCATCCCCTTGGATGGATATGTGCGCAATGTAAAATATAGCCATAATTCTTATAAGGAAATATGTTTCAGTTACGATCCTTCTAACCGCTTTTTCATCATTTAATTAAACTTTTACAGGACTATCGTTTTCCGGAGATTTTGCATAATTTTGGCGACTGTGTACATTATGCGGATATCCACGATGTTAAGCACTGCACTACCAGTTCTACCGCCTCCCAATGAATGCACAAAACAGGTGAGATATAATGGCGCATCACGTAGGCTAGCAGTGGCGTAGCCATACATGATTTCAGTTTGTTTTTTAGGGGGCAGCAGCCAACCCAAATTTACCAACAGAAACCCTACTCATGTCGTACTAAAGTATGTATGATTTACACATACATCCACAATTTAAAAAAAAAATGATAGTGGTTGCGTTGATAATCAGGAGTATAGAGACACTCGGTCTCCTTCGGTATTTGTCATCTTAATGGGCAAGATTTCCGCCATTTTCTAAATTGTTAACATATTGTCAAAGAGAAAATGCATTTATCCTTCAATTGATACTACTAATAGGCCCAAATAATTATTGATGATCTGGCGATTAATCTAGCCAGGTAGGCAACCAAGATTTGTTCTTTGTATAAATCTGTTATGACTTAAATCTGTGTCTGATATACTAATTCTAAATTGTAATGGCTCCCACGAAGGTATCAGAAAGTTCATTTGGGGTCATGACACAAACTAAACATAGGAAATTCAAAATTGTATAAGTGAATCACCTCTTCCTATCTCATACAATCTTTTCTTTTCTAGTATTTTTGAGGCCCTTTTACATGGAAATTTCTAATCATAGAACTTAGTAAACCCTGAATACAAACGTTTCCATTTCTGAATTTAAAAAGATAGATACACAAATTTTTAGTTAGCTCTCTACGTATTTTTTCCAGACAAGATCACATTATGAAATATGAAACCATAAAAAGATTTATCTTTTGATTATAATTACTTTAATGTATACACATAAATCTACACATTTTGTTTTCATCTAAGTTTATGAAACCTCCTGAGGTCAATTTTATATCTACATGTACCCCTTTATAAAACGAAACGTAACATTTTACAACAAGGAAACAATTTACGATATGAAGGAATCAATTAATCAAGACCTAAACAGTATAATTAATCATCTTCTAGTGAAAGAGTACTTGAGTAGTAACGTTGTGACCTCTTTGGTTTTCTTATACTGAATTCTAGACTTGTCCTCCGTTTGTTTATATTTCTATGTCCATTTTCACTTCCCTACCACCATACAGCCTACAGATACCTACTATGAGCAACTGGCTCTTACCTTTTCCTTGTGGATGAAATCTGGCTCTCGTTTGAGTGGTATTAAAATGTGTGGAGACTACATGTTTAGTGGTCATATAACATCCTTAACCCTGGCAAATCTCATGATTATTGAGTGTAAGTACCTTACTAACCAGGGCCCCGCTGCTTAAAACTTACCATTAATGGTAACTTTGTCGTCAATGCATGAAATCACCAGAGTAACAGGACTCAACAGCCAATCAAAATCAAGGTTTCCATTGTAGTTACCATTAATGGCAAAGTTATCATCAATGGTAAGTTTTCTGCGACGGGGCCCTGATGATACAAGTGTTTAATACCATGAATTCCTTCCAATGTCATATCATTCATGTTTTGATTTATGAATGAAAGTACGTAATCAGCTTATCTTATCAATTTTCATTAGAGACCAAGTGAGCACGATGAATAAATGTGATATCAATATTATAGTCTGATTTTTTTTGTTGAAAATCAGTGTCAGAACATAGGCAAAACAACTAATGTTAATATGTATATATTATAACTTGACTATTTTGTTTATACATGTGTATGAAGAAAGGGGGAAATAAGTTACTTTGAAATTATATGATTTAATTTGACTTCCCGTTTTGGTTGATTTGATATGATTTGATTTATTGATTTCTGCATTTTCCATACACTAATAATCAGTAACAATATAAACATTTGGTACAAAGTGGTATTTTTTTTCAAATCCCAATGAAAAACACAATTTAAACAACAAAATGTTTGGAACGGTTGACATAGCAAATGAGGAAGACATGCAGCGTGCACGCTTGAAGTGCATGCAGCTCTTTATCTGCCATGCCTCAATCACTGCACACATTTGGACTCATTTGCCAGGAATTATCAACCAACAGCAAATGTGACTAAAAAAAGTAGGTTAAACATGAAAAGTATAGTTTATTGGTTCCCGTAATTCCGTAAAGGTTATGTTTATTTACCTAGTTGAAATGGGTCACTTTAGGCCCAATCTTTAATTTTTAGGTTTCGTGGTTGTTGTTTCATTCACTTAATTATTTTGAGATATATACGGAGGATATAAGGCAACATATATACATTACATTCGTTTGATCAAATATGCAAATTAAACAAATTTTCTTTCTTTCCTTCTGACGTATCTCGACTTATCCTGGAAATTAATTATCTTACATAAACAAGTACAGGCGATATGAAGTAAGCCGATACGAATACACGGGGTCGTAACATACCAATATAATACATCTTGGTCAGAACTATAGAATGAAAAAATTGTGTAGAAAAATACATTAATTTTAAGTTTTCATGTAAAATCATCATTTACGAAGGGGTGTTGTGGTATATGTGGTTCATTCACTTGACTCTCAATCAAAGGGTTCAGGGTTCGAATCAAAGCCAACCACTAACATCCTTTGGCAAGGTAGTAATACACATATGCCACCCTCCACTCAGGTTTAAACGGGCCTTACCGCTTTGCTACATCTCCACATATTTGGCCGCCATGCAGCTACGACCGGGGTAATAATAGTGGAGCGCAACGGCGTGACGGACATGTGCCCTTTTTAAGAAGCCCTCGGCATTATTATTATAAAATGTGATGTGATAAACGAAATTACTTGTAAAAATAAGAAAAATACATAGTCACACAATGTGCATCTATTTAAAGGATGTGAATATGATTTAGTACAAAACAGATAAATTAGTTTCGACCAGTATAGCTTCCTGAATGAGCTGCCAACGGGATTACCCAACCAAGTACCGAGTACATCTAGGAGTTTTAAACTAAGGACTGTTTCATCAACATCCGGATAACGCACTCCTCTCTATATTTTCAGTTTTGTTTTACTCGGTTAACGGAACTGAAAATAGGATGCACGTACAGACATCACGAGTTATATTATATGGTTTCAGCTTACGCATGTTATACACCTTTCACTTTGCATTTAGTGTTGTCCGTATCTGATTACATGAAATAGATACAGAGAGCGTGCGAACATTAGAAAGAAACACAATATAAAAAAATGAAATTAATAAGGGATGGAAAGTTTTACCATAACACCTGCAGTAGTCGATACATTAAGCAAATCGCACTCCTCCATATTTTTACAGTTTCGTTATACTCAGTTAAACGGAACAGAAACGAGGATATAAGTAAATACATATCGAGTCATACTATGTTATTGTTATGCCCGGCTTATGAATGTTATACACATTTCATTTTACATTCATTATTGACCCGATCACATGAAATAGATACAGAGAAAGTGCGGAAATTGGATAGAAACACAATTCAGAAAACGAATTTAATAAGGAATGGAAAGTTTAACTATAAAACGCGCAGGGATCAATATATTAAGCAAACCAGTGACGGTTAAAAAAAAGGTTGTGTTCTAATTTGTTTTAGGTCAGATTAGAAGAACATTATTAGAAATTTCCACTGAAAATGAGAGCTCTCCATTCGACCTCATATTCGAAATATGAAATGATACAGTTGGAGAAATAAGGACCTAACATTCATGCCACACATGTGAACTGCATGTGAGTTTAGAAAGATTTATTCAATCCTTTATCAATTTGAGGATTTCAAAACCTAACATTACAATGATTCTTATGTAAACTAGCCCTTAATATTATATTTATATTAACATAATTTTCAATCTACAACATAGTATACAATATACCCCCACTGCGCTTGAATAAAATAATTATACCATTTCCCGGCTTTACTCAAGCTAACATGATGAGGTGCTCAATTATAAGTATAATAAGTTACAAACAGGTTTAGCTCGATCACCTGGGAAGCGAGTGACAATGTGCATTAATGTCTTGCCATATAGGACGTCATTATCGTAAAAGGGATTCGAACCACGTACCTTGGGACCCATAGTCTGACTTTAATATCTTTTACATAACATCTAAGTAGATTTTAGTCATTTGATTGGAGGATTGTTGGTCGCACGATGTTCAATAAATAATCTATTGAACGACTATACATCATTGGGCGTGCATCTTTGGATATAGTCACCAGGCGCGTACACAGGGGGAGGGGGTTGAACCCCCCCCCCCTTTTGGTATTTTTATGTGTGTAAACCCCCCTAAAAAAACCTAACCCCCCCTTTGGTTTTGGGTTTTTTTTTATTATAAAAAAAATAAAATATGCACATGGCTGACCTAAAAAAGGTGACCTTACCCCCCCCCCCCCCCTCAACGAAGAAAAATGTCAAAATGTTCTAATTTCGAGACCAAAAAAAAAAAAAATGTCCCCCCCCCTCCCCGCAGTTGCCATCTATTTAAACGTCATTAAAAAAACGCAGTTTACCGCTCTACATATGAAGTGTTAACGCAGTAAAGATGTAGGCCCATATCGCTTTCATTTAATAATAACTCTATCAATGTTGTTTTGTCTTCTATTTCTGCAGATTCACCAAGCAATTTTTACGTCTTACGTTACTTTTCGATCAGTCTCAACGTTGTAGGCTCTTACATCTTAATCGTCGGCAGGGGGCATTACACGGTCGACGTCATCATCGCTATCATTCTCGTTTTTATAGTCTTTCATTTTTATCACACGCTCACTAGCCTTTACGTCTTCACAAAGAGCAGCGATAAGCTACGCTGGTTCCCGTTCTTCTGGTATTTTGAGCGCAACGTGTGTTGCGCCGTGCCGAACGAGTTCGAAGTCCCTCGTCTTTCACATATCTTTTCAGGGAAAATATAGAAAATCTACTGTTATAGTTATGAAATATATAGCTGAAATGTCTGTTTTCATTATTTGTTTTTGAGTGCCTTGAGGTTTTTGTTCACATTGTTCTCATATTTGAGTTGTGAGGGTTATCTTATACGAACAATAATTACGTACGGCTCCATGAGTGTATTTTTGTTGGCGATATGATCAGAAGCAATGGCTGATGAGAGATTCTGGAAACGAGGCTCTTTAAAGAGAAGGTTGAGTTCTGGGAAGAGGTGAAAAATAATTGTGAGCATTATCATTCTTATTATATGCAAGTGTGGAAGAACATCAGATAAGACATGTTCCCTGAAAAGCATGGCTCTTGAAATGCCTTCATATTCTAAATATGTCATGCAACATCGTAAAAATCCAGGTAGGATTTTTTTACCCCCCATGTGTTCGTGTAGTCCCATATACATCTTTCTGTGTACAGTGTTTGTAACTTTACCAAGACTTGGCCAAATTTCTTATCATTTTGATGATTCCAGAACCTTGCAATACACAAAAATTCTTATATGCTAGATGATAAACCTTTTCTGGTCGAATCCACACCGTTTCTTTCACAATGCAATTGCATGTCCAGAACTCAACTTCATCTTTAATGGAAGAAAGCACAATACTGGAAGTTACCTCAAAAATACCAGGGTGGACAGCTTGCCGACGCCGCCATCTTCCTTCCCCATCTCTGTTTATTTGAAGTCAGTAGATTTTACTTTCACTAAACAAAGTGTGATTTCACTGATTTGCCTCATCAAATAGATTCATGCGTTTATAAAGGGACTTGGTAACATAGTTCAGATGAGTGAAATGGTGCTAAGGTAGTGACTTCAATGCTAAATGTACAAGTAAAGATAATCTGGAAGTTTTTGTGAAAACAGACCATTATTAATGATAAAATTAAGAAAAACTAATCTGATCGACACCTTAACCCTGAGCCTCCCAATTATGTTATTACAATTTAATTATATTTGAGGTGAATTTAAATTGTCACAAAGCAATGAATTGGCTCTATATACCATTCCAGACATCTAAGTGATGATAGATTTTTAAAAGCCTGTATTATGTCTTGTTTTCATGGAAAAACGTTTGGGAAAATTCAAAAATGGTTGGGAGAATTTACTGTTTGAGGGTGTTGTACTGTGACGCCTTCAAATCTTTGTGGTTTGAGAATTTTTCAGAATTTCTTGCATGCTAGAGGGTAAGTATAGTATAAGGAATATAATAAGTAACATTTCATACAAATATGCTGCAGTTTTTTCATCAACCTTCAACAATGTTACCGAGTCACTTTAAGATAAGAATAATTAATGTCGAGAGAACTCTATTCCATTCGATTTAGTCAATCTAAAGATACATTCCTGATTTGGTGAAATTTTACTTCATCAATGATTTGAATAAAATCCATTGAGAGTCTGTCACAATGTTCTCATCAGATCAAGGATAACTGAACAAATTAAGACAATTCATGAACTTGATCAAATTTTGTTGTACACAGTCGTCTTTTTAGCGTGTCTTTGTTAACGTTATGTTGTCTAGACGTTTAAAAGCATAGCGTATTCCTACGATTTTTGTTTTGTGTCATGAAATGTTTTATTCTCCAAACAAAAGGAATAAAAATCAAAACAAAGTAAATACAAATTACATCATTTTTGTAATCGAAAGCATTGATCATTCCGTGCAATCAATCGCAAACAAAATCAATCAATCGATCAATTGCTAAGCTTAGTGTTTTGAGGACCAGGACAAAAAACGGGTTATATTTTAAATTTCTTTGTCCTTTTCTTTTCATGTTTTAGGTTTTATATAAGAACATTACTTGTATTGAGCAAGATGGGTAAACATAAACGTTTAAAGGAATTATCTCACTTGTGTACAAAAATATACACAAACGTACTTTATAATAATATGAATATGCACTTTACAAACATTTCAGATTTTAGAAATAATAAATCAATCTTAAATTTTGTTTTCCTGTTAACCCTAACCGATAATTCGTGTTTCAGCTATGACGTGAAAAAGACAAATATATATATTAAAGATTACGAAAGGAAATGCTCGCGTACAAGCACATTCAGGACAGGCAGAATTGAATAATTCTAATAAAATGGTGTGATGCATCTTGAGTATAATTTGTAAATATCCAGAACTTTGTAAGGATTACGCAGAAAAGGAACAAATGTTGAGATACAACTCTTTGTGGTTGTCTTATTTGTCTATAAGTGATAATTAAGTTATTTTCAATGACTGCTCCCTCGTTGATTCCCCAGGCGTCTTTCATGTACGTAATATGATATAAATATTTTGAAAAATACAATAAATTTATCAGGATGATTAATATTACCTTATACAGTACGAACAAAATAATTCTTACGACTGGCCTTAGATACTGAAATTCACATGCAGCCTTTTTATATATCTTTCCGTTGTTTATAAAAGGAAACGAGGGAACCATTAGAAATACGATACGGATGTCGTTCAATGAACAATAGCTATCATAAGCTTCCTTTGTGATTGAAATACAGGCACGTTATCTGAAATGCACACATTTCCCACCGCCTTTGTTTTTTTCTATTTTGTTTTTCCTCTTCTCTCTCTCTCTCTCTCTTCTCTTGATAAATATACATATATCCCTCTGTGTGCAAGCATTCACCATCTTATTTATATTATATCCAGCAGTTTTATTAGCATTGCCAAAGCCTTTACTCTGCTTTGTTCTCAAACAGGAGCTATTATCCCGCCATAGTCCACCTCTCTTATATAGTAAAGTATCGCAATCATTGATTATCAATGTAAAAACTGATTTCCCGATCAATTTACCTATATTTGTTTACGTGGGTGAGACGAGCCTAGCTTTGAGAATGTCTTGTCTTTCAACGATGTATCCGTGTCAATTATACAATGTATTTGTGCCTGAAACGAGTTGTGTTCTGTGAACTTGTGGAACTTGTGTAACTTGAAATATTACATATAAGATTCTTCTCATAGATAATATTTTGTATGAATCTGAAATAAAATTAACGTTTATTGGGCCATGTCTACCCAAATCTTTACATACGACCTTAATTACACGTGGTGTTAACCGCGTCATATTACCAAGGTACGTATATATATTTTTTCGCTTAAATCTCATACGCGTGATTTGAATGACATTTGCTGTCCATACAATGATCTACATCATGATGTATTTTTAGAATGCCTAGATATATGACATCGTAAAGGCTCGCTTAGATATGACGCGGAAAAACCGCCGCAAAAAAGCAACCGCGGTTATTTTGTTTAAAGGTGTGAATGAATGGCAACCGCGCGCAACACAGTACCTGAGCGTACACTGAGCTCATCGTTATAAAATTCAGAAATGTGACGCGTTTATAAATGTCTTGACGTCATCATAGAGTAACAAACCGCTGCGGTTTTGCCGCGTCGTATCTGAACGCGGCCTGAGGAAATTGAAAATGATTCTGATTATTCGTAAATTTAAAGACTGCCGCTATCCACATAGTGGCATGCGTCTTGCACGAATTGACGGCATAAGTGGCAAAACGATCGAAATTAAGCGGGAAAATGTACGCATAACTCCAGATCTTTCCGTGTACTGCAGTTTTAATAGAGGGTAGAGCATAATGTACTGTATAAGATATAGTTCGATATTTAAACATAAATCTTGTAACTGCAATATCTAAATTGTGAAAAGTGAAATAATTTTCGCTGTGTAACCTTGATGTTACTCTCACCTATAGTACTCAGATTATATTGACTCTTTATATTGGCATTTTTATGAAAGCCCAATTATATTGTATAAAAGTGTGTAAGTTAAGAGCAGTCGGAACAAAATTCCCTTGAAGCGGAAATCTCTTGCTGAGGAACGTTTCAAATATACTCAGAGTAATAAGTTGAAAACTTACATTCTCCATTTGATATCTTCTGTTTATGTATATATTGATGAATTTCGCACAAATCTATCTCAAATGTTGAAATAAAATGTTGAAGATATGAGTTTAATGTTCAGGGTAAGGAACCTCTCACCTACAATTTGTCTCTTTTATCGTTTCGGTACATGAATGTGTGCAAATCATACGCACGGTGACATCAATGTTATGTAGTCGTAGTGACGTCAAATAAAGTGAGGTTAGTAACGGTCGTATAGTTATGACGTATGCAAATAAAACGAGAGATCCGTCTGATAGTGTATTTGGCGATACAACATAATGTATTATCTAGCGATCCCAAATTATTCTTGGGTTTAAAAATATTTTGCAGGACATTGGCATGAAACTCGATAAATCTGATCAAAATATGACTTACTTCATATTTCGATCAGATTTTGATAGTTTGTCAGCTTTTCCTTTTAAAATTAACGTCACACATAATTTATGTACAGTGTGTATCAAAAAAGGTATACCAACACTTCGTACATTCCCAATTAAAAGTTATAACATCTGCGACATTCACTTATGTTTCATTTTAAAGGGTAACTAATTTTCTGTCTAATGATACCTTATTCATATAGCTGTGCTGCCACGGATGACCGAGCAGCAATCTTTACAAAAAGTATTGTAAAAACCTGTTTTTGTTCCAAGTTTGGGCAGCAACGAATGTGGTTCAAGAGTCCTTATGCATTGCTATTTCAATTTTAAAACAATCGCTGACTAATTCGCATTGGTTTTGTGCATTTGAATAGAAAGGGTGACAATATCAACTCAGACTCCAGGAAAGGTTCATTTAGGAGCAAAAATAATGATATCCTCTTTCTTATGATGACCCAATCTTGCCCTTTTTTTTATATATCTCTTGTTTACTGTTAACCTTGTCATTGAGTCATTCAAAATGGTCAAATATGTTTGGGATGTTATATGTTTTAAGTGGAAGTAAATATCATTGGTAGTTATCATCATGTGCTCCTTCTTGCAATAAGCCAGTTCACGGTTGCAGTCTGAGCATGAGCAGATAAAGGTCATTGCAGAACAAATTGTGAAATACACGGGGACGAAATACTGGATACGTGCTCATGAAAGTTATGTAATCATTATTCATTAATGCACTTCATAATACACAGGTGGAAGTATTCTTTGAAAAGGGGAAACAAAGGCTATTTATGTAGCACCTCCATCGATGTAGGAGTGATGATTTCAAAATGTACAAAGTGGGACCTCTTCATGTTTTGAAGATCTGTGGGTATTTGGGGTCATTGCAGTAATGTGCTAACCGTGAACTGGTCTATTACAAAATTGTTGAGGTTAGTAATTAAACCTCTGGATTTTCATGTGCTGCTCGACACAAACACCTTATTCACCTC